GGGTCCCCGTTGGGTCAACCTTTGGGTCCCCGTTGGGTCCCCCCTTTGGGTCCCCCTTTGGGTCTCCGTTGGGTCAACCTTTGGGTCCCCCCATTGGGTCCCCCCCTTTGGGTCCCCCTTTGGGTCCCCGTTGGGTCAACCTTTGGGTCCCCCCTTGGGTCCCCCTTTGGGTTCCCCTTTGGGTCCCCTCTTGGGTCCCCGTTGGGTCAACCTTTGGGTCCCCCCCTTGGGTCCCCCCTTGGGTCCCCCTTCGGGTCCCTGTTGGGTCAACCTTTGGGTCCCCCCTTGGGTCCCCCTTTGGGTTCCCCTTTGGGTCCCCGTTGGGTCCCCCCTTTGGGTCCCCCATTGGGTCCCTGTTGGCTCAACCGTTGGGTCAACCTTTGGATCCTCATTGGGTGCCCCGTTGGGTCCCCATTGGGTCAACCTTTGGGTCCCCCTTTGGGTCCCCCCTTGGGTCAACCTTTGGGTCAACCATTGGGTCCCCGTTGGGTCAACCTTTGGGTCCCCCTTTGGGTCCCCATTGGGTCCCCCTTTGGGTCCCCGTTGGGTCAACCATTGGGTCAACCTTCGGGTCACCTTTGGGTCCCCGTTGGGTGCCCCTTCGGGTCCCTGTTGGGTCACTCTTTGGGTCCCCCATTGGGTCTCCATTGGGTCAACCTTTGGGTCCCCCCTTTGGGTCACCATTGGGTCCCCCTTTGGGTCCCCCTTTGGGTCCCCGTTGGGTCAACCTTTGGGTCCCCATTGGGTCCCCATTGGGTCCCCCCTTGGGTCCCCCTTTGGACCCCCAGTTGTACCCATAGAGTTCCCATAGAGTTCCCATAGTGTCCCCATTGGGTCCCCACTGGGTCCCTGTCACCCCATGTCCCCATTGGGTCCCCAATGTCCCGTGAGCGTGCCCCATGAGCGTGCTCCATTAGTGTGTCCCTTAAACGTGCCCCGTGAGTGTGCCCTGTGAGTGTGCCCCACACGCGTGCCCCATAAGCGTGCCCTATAAACGTGCCCCATGAGCGTGCCCCACACGTGTGCCCCATCTGTCTGCCCCACACGTGTGCCCCATAAGCGTGCCCCCTAAGCGTGCCCCCTAAGCGTGCCCCACACATGTGCCCCATAAGCGTGCCCCATAAGCGTGCCCCCCGCTCGTGCGGCCAGGTTCGCCATGGAGTGCCTGAAGGAGTGCAAGTTCTCCTTCGCGTCGGACGTTTGGTCCTTCGGGGTGACGCTGTACGAACTGCTGACCCACTGCCACCCCGCGCTCAGCCCCCCAGCGGTGGGTCCGGGACCTGGGGGGG